ATTCAAGTGCTTTATTTAACCAAGCAGGAAACTGAAAATTACCATAATTTGAATTCTTATTTCTATTCCATATGTGGCCTATAAACGTCAATATAAAACTCTCAAAGACCCATACTCGCCATTTTCTTCAGTGTTATTTCAACCAGGTCCTTGGTGCCTTCATCGGAGTCCTCTTCAGAGGGCTGTTTGAGAAGGCTGTTCTTCAGCATGTGAAACATCTCCTCCTTTGAAATGAATCCGTCACCGTTTAAATCAAACACTTCGAAGCAATCTTTCACAAAAATAACACATCATGAACTTGATACTGACACAAAGGTAACGTTTTCTCTGGTAAAGTTTTCAAGCTGAGGTCGATCTTGTTGGCCCTTTATGAACCCCGCAGGCTTTGGTGTGATCTGAGTTCCACGGTAAATGCTAAACACACTATTTGATGATATTCAACAATCCTCAGAAATAAGTTTCCTCACACTCAGCTATAAAAAAAAATAGCATATCAAGGAACAATAACTCGGACATTTTTATCTTGGAAGTCTTGGAAAACTGATTGGAACATGGCTCTTAGACAGCGTTCATCAGAGTTAGTTAAGAATTAATTAAGAATCAGAACACTTGAGTCAATGTTCTCTAGTTTTATGGTTACAATTCAAGTAATGAAATATGTAAATTACTTAACAGGTAAATGTATATATATAAACATAATTAGCATGTGTAGCAATGCCTCTGCAGTCTTTGTTGGCATGAATTACTCCTCAGAATCACTTGATTTCTTTTTTATTAATTTTCTTTCATCCTTTATCATTGACTTGAATTCATTCCATAAAATAGGTTAATGGGGATTCAAACCAACCAACCAACCAATCAACAAACCTACTTCATTGACTGGGTTGGAGGACATTAATTTAAGGAGGACATTAACTTAAACGGTGAATATATGTTAATCTCAATGTACAAACCAATAGGCAACTTGCAATCTTACATTTCATTTTTTCTTCTAAAGATCCTCGAAGAAACAGTGATAATCCATTAATCCACTCTGATACATTTACATAGCCATCATTGTCTTTATCAAAACCTCGAAATACTAAAGAGAGAAAGAGGTACAATGCAATACTTGTGCTGCATTTTAATTTTCTATATTGGTATTAGTTGCTTTTGAAATTCAGAGAAAACTTCAGGGTGGTAAGGTCCAATATTCTCCTTTGACCAGGCAATACTTGTGCTGCATTTTAATTTTCTATATTGGTATTACTTGCTTTTGAAATTCAGAGAAAACTTCAGGGTGGTAAGGTCCAATATTCTCCTTTGACCAGGGAAGAAACTAACACATCATAATGCCATAAGACTTATTTAAACATTTAAAAATTGTAATATATTTTGTGAGAACAAAGAAAAATTTGAATATTTAAATGTATTAAATATTAATGAATTAATAATAAAATATATTGGTATTTAAGTTTGTTACTTATATTAATTAGATATATTAATTTATTAGTATAAAATATATAATTTTATATTTTTGTCATGCTATTACACGATAAAATTATATCTCAATTTTTATTGAAATATAAATTTCTATGATTTAATGAAATTTAAATGTCCTTTAAAAATTATTATTATGTTTGCTAAGTAGATATAGAAATGTTTTGGTTTTTCTGATTAAAGTAAGGAAAACCTAGTTAATCTCTGACTTTGTCCTCTTCTTAAATACACAAAATAGAGAAGCTATTATTTCCTTTATGATCTCTGAGAAATTAAATTTTCATATTCAAATGAAATTGGGAATGCAGAACATTAAGTTTCTTAACAAGAATATGTCCAAACTCCAAACATTTTTTTTCCAGTTATGGCTGGATTTGGCTGATATGAATCTGGTATGTCTCTTACCTCTGTCCATAATCATGTCATCTGTCATTCCAAATCTCACATGCAGGATGTTTCGAAATGCATTACGATCTAGTCCAATGACCATACCTGGTCGCTCTACCACATCTCCCACCAAGCTATAAAAAAGCTTTATAAGACAGTTCACTTCAAATTTATTAACTGTAAAAGAATAAAATTAAGATAAGATAAACATGCATTTTAATCTTTAAGTTCTAACTTAAATTTTGCATTAATGAGTTGATAGACAAACAACATAAAAGATATCAAATATGTAGTTGTCA